CAAAGGCACCATTGCCATTCATATAAAGCATGATTTATACAAAGTCAACTCTCCTTGAGCCTCTCAACTGTTTTTTATGCACACATAATGTCAAAGCAAGAAGAAACATGCCTAGAAGCCTCTAGAAACTTCATACCATGCTTGTACCATGCATTGGGACACCAATTTTCACATAACTTTGTTGTTTCATCTCAACCAAACCAGAATTTTGACAATTTATAAAGCAAAGTCTCTCATTCTCTCAAACCTCCTCTATAAATAGAGAGGCTACAAGCCAAAGGCCAGAAGTTTTTGTTGTGTAGACAAGCCCTCAAAATTTCATACTCTCAAAAATCCATAATTGTCCATAAAACCTCCACTCTTGAGCTTTGAAGTCCAAGTCTTTGAACCTCTCACACCTTGTAAGTTTTGTCCAAACACTCCATATACATCATATATGAGTTGTTCAAATACAAGAACAACTTCTGTAACATCACTATTACTATTTCCTAAGCTCAAAAACAGCCAACACAGCAGCTCAAACTCAAAACACAAATTTCAGCTTCAAGGTAAGTTTTCTTGACTTTGAACTCTTCATATAAAGCATCATCAATGATTCATCTGAGAAGATAAAATGTAGATATCATTATCTAAAGCTAATCATATACTTGTTCTTCATTTTCACTAATCCTGTATTGAGAGCTAACCATATATGCAGCAGAACAATGATAGAACAAGAAAAATAAATATCAGTATGAGTCGACACGAAACAATATGAGTCGACACATATTATGTACAAAACAAGTTATGAGTCAACACAAAATACGTATGTGTCGACACAAAGCAGTATGAGTCGTACAAAACCCATATGTGTCGACTCATACTGAGTTGTTTTTACTTCCACGAGCTAGAAATGAGCATGAGTCGATACAAAAGGTGCATGTGTCGATACAAAACAGTATGAGTCGATACAAAATCCTTATGTGTCGAATCATACTAAGTTGATTTTGATTTCCAGGGACAAAGAGATGATATGAGCCATTACAAAATAGATATGAGCCAATGCATGCGTCAATACATAAAATTTTCGTATCAATGCATAAGCTCATGTGTCAATACATAAAAGTTTTCTTAAACCATTTTTTTTCCTTTTTTTTATATTATCTTTATATTTCTTTATATTTTTATTGTCATTCAATATTCAATATGATTGTAATAGTATAATTAGAACTTTATTGTTTTCATCCCCCATTCATAAACTTGTATCCCCATCCCCAAAAAAAAGATGTAGTATGACTTTAAAATTCTGCAATTTATCGCTTTCAATATTATTGCTAGTAATTAGGGTGTGTATGGCAAGATTTAAAATCAACAAGTAGACAACCCTAATTCAAGACAAAAAAGCATGAAATCAATACACTCGCACACGCGCACCTATAGGGTAATCCACACTTGTTTCCTCGATAAAAATAGTCATGTCCCTCGAACGTGGGATGCTTTAGCAAAGACCCTCAAATACAAGATCGTAGTCCCTCGATAACCCTTCGATGTTGCCTTCGTAAACGATCTTAATCCCTTACGACAAATTGCTAAGGTATCCTACAATGTTGCCTTCTATGACTATACAATGACCCACGCCCGTTCCTTCACATCCAATGATAGGGCTTCTTACCAATCAATGGTAAGATAGCAACATCTAAAGGAGGAGGAAAAGAACTAAGACTTTTTGAGTAGGTAGAACGCTCGTAGTTGCTTGCTCACAACATTTCAAAACATCTTTCAAAAACACTAACACTTTTTCATGAAATATTTTCAAAATTCAACACTTTGTATGCATTCTTATAGAGACGAGAATCATTACAAAGTTCGCCTAAACAAAGGCACTTTTCAAAAACACTTTCAAACAAACACAAACACATTTCAAACAAAGCATTTCAAAGTGATCAAGCAACTAAGAGCCCGTAGATAACTACGGATGAAAAGGGTGCTAACACCTTCCCTTTTCATAACCTACCCCCCCGAACTCAAGAAAATTCTCAAAACATATTTCCTGTTCTTTTCACCCTTTCCTTTATTGGATAAGAGAAAAGTCGGTGGCGACTCTTGCTATCTGCAACAATTGTGATAAAATGTAAAATGCCCAAGTCAGTTCTTCCACCGTATTACAGAACTGGCGCGATAGCTTGAATGGGCCAAATCTAGACCTTTCCTTTGGTACGACCCGCACGCCCATAACCCGAACCGCCCGCTATCTATCGGGTAATATCAATTATTTGGCCTCCCAAGCCAGCATTGTCCTAGGATGACCGACGAGCATCCTCTCAGCCTGCCCAACATCAACATCATGCAGGCCACCAGGATTCGACCAGAGAGATGCCTGTAACTGACCCCCTCCTCGAGACCAACGGCTAGTTACGGACACATCTGCCCGGTTTGACCAAGTCCTGGCAGTTACCTGATTTCACAGACCCGCATATCCAGGCGCGAAATCAGGAACCAATGGTCACGCGCCAGAGGCATTATATAAACCCTCACACCCGTGAGGGCCAGAGATCGAATACTTACTATTCACCACCTAATACTTTGCTTGTATCTACTTGCTCTCACTCTTACTTGATCGCTGGAGTGCCTTGCAGGTACAACCCCCTTTTTCTTCTCGACTTCACATTCCAACTACAGATCATCTTCCGACCACTTCTCAGGTTCTGATCAACCGGTAAGATCAGAAAGAGAAATTGTAAAAAAATTTAAAAATGGGATTAGATAGAGTGTTATGTAGAGAGAAAAAGACTCGAAGGTTAGCGGTATCTAAATCTAAACCAATCCAAATAAAAAACTGAAAATTAATCCAAAAAATTGAAAACTGCAGAAAACCAAAATTTATTGAATGTGTTTGGATGTCATTTTGTGAAAACTGATAGGTTCGGATCGGATTTCGGATTAATTTTTCAAAACCGATCTAAACCAATTCGAACCACATACATATATTTTTATATCTATTTAATTTTTAATAGTATAATATCTTACGTGAATTTATTATTAGATGATAATAGTTTTTTTAGGATTAAATATGTTTTTTATCCTTATAAATATCTCAAAATTCATTTTTAGTCCCTATTAAAAAAATAATAAATTTTGATTCCTAAAAAATTTTTGTTCTTCCAATTTTAGTCCCTACTGTTTTCTAAAATTTTAAAAACTGTTTAATTACCCTTAAACTTTTAAATTTTTGAATAATATTTTCCATACGTGTTTGAAATACTATAAAATATTTCTTTATCAAATTTTAGAATTTTTTAAAATAAGAAGAATTAAATATGATTTTTTTAAATTTCAAAAGATATTGATAAAAATAATGAAAATCTCGACTTAGGAATCAAATTTTGAATTTCTTTTTTTCCAAAAAACTTTTTATAACGTTTTAAATATGTCTATCAAATAATCATTCAAAAATACATTGATTTAACAACAGAGACTAAAACTACGTGCATAATAGTTTTGTAGGGACTAAAACTTGCCATTATTTTAATAAGGACTAAAAATGAAATTTGAGATATTTATAGAGACCAAAAATATATTTAATCCATTTTTTTAATAATATTTATTAGCTTGATATAATCTATTTATTTTTATTATTTCAATCATATTTGATCATTCTCATTTTGTAATATGAACTTTTAATATACTATAGGTTATATATTAATATCAAATCTATGATTTATTAGTAATTTTATAATATTAATAAAAATATAATATGTAATTTAGATATCTAAATACCGATCTAAATTAAACCACATAAAATTGAATCGAATTGAATTTTTTTAATATATCATCCAAAACCGAAACGCAGATAAATTTATCTTTGAAACGGATAAATTTTTACCTTAAAACCGATCTAAACCGAACCGCGAACATCCCTACCAAAAACAGAGACTTTGGAAATTGTTTTTCCCACTCTAAGTATTGTTTTCCCACCCTAGTAAAAAAAACCAAAACTACCCATAAAATTAGGAGAGAAATAGAGCTAGACTCACTTATGTATTTTCATGTGAAAAAGATGCGTTCGAAAATACACTAAGTTCTCATAAGCATGGCGCTTTAAAGGCACAAAGCCCATCCCATGCATTGGAGAAGAAAAAGATGGTTTAAAGATTGAAAATGACGAAGTTTTTAGCACAAATGTCGAATTCTTATCATTTCTGATGTGCAACTATATAATTCAAGACACATCATTTCACATATGACAAGTAACCTTTCACCTAGAATCATAATCATGAATGATCAGATTTTTGTTTGTTCACTTATTATCATGTGAAGAATCAAGAATAGTAGTGCTACAGAATCTAATTCCAAAAAGAATAAGATGCCAGAAATCACATTTAAAATCTATAACAAAAAGGTAACATATAAATGGATGAAACAATTTGAAAAGGTGAATCAGAATCACATTTTAATCTTGAAAAAGCTGGGGTGAACTGTTGCTGCAAGTTGGCAAAATAAGAAACAGCAATGTAATAACATAAACATATAGTTGGTTTAGAGCTCCGAAGCACTTACACCTCAGAAAAGTGTGTCCGTGTTTGTGTTTGTGTTAGTGTCGGACACCAATACGACACCGACACTTGTGATTATGTTCAACTTATTTATTTTTAAAATTATTATCGGTGTCAATATGTCGGTGTTGGTATCATATTCGGTACAGGTTTAGAGTGTGAATTGTAGTAATGCAATCGATGAGGTAAATCTTGAAGCTTAAAATAAACATATGTAAGATAAATATTCCAACAGAATACCATCATCAAAGGAAGTAAAAATTTCTAACTGAAATTGCATGATGAATGACCATCAAACAATTGCATTATATGTATCATAATCTTGAGTTTCATGTAAATATATCCTTCTGTAGCTTCCAGTGTCTCTCTAAAGACTGTTCTACTGGAAGCCATATTAACAAATACAAGGACTTTAAAATTAAAGGCTACCCTACCTCAAGTTCATGGTCCATGTCATTCATGTTTTTTTTACCGCTGCAAAGACTTGTACAGCACCACAGTGACATATTTCGCTACGAATCGATGAGTTGTCCCGAGTGCAACCACTGAAGGGCTATTCTTTCCTTTCTGCATATAGAGATGATTGAGCATTACATGTTGTGGTCTGGACACGAGAGGTTCAAACTCCATATTTGTTGAAGGAACGTCAAGAAGAGTCATTTGCATGAATGGAGGAACCAGTGGTGGCTCCTTAGCATAATCTTCGGAACTTAGGTGTAAGTTGTTGTAACTAGAGTCTGGTGATTTTGGTGGTTCAAAACTAGAAATGCTTCCAATGTCTTCAGGAACATAATCCTGCATACAATAGGTTTTAAGATGAGGTTGAATAAAAACGTTTATTCAATATGTGTTTATCATATGAAAATTTATGTATCCGTGTCTATAATTAAAGAGAAAACAAACATAAACTCTGCATAAACTGAGAATAGCTTATTAAAATAAGCTATTTGGGGGCGCTGGTGGAAGTAAGATGAAAACAGCTTATGAAATATGATATGAACATATCCTAAGCTATTTTCATAAACCGTTTTGAAACATTCACAGAAGTGCTTATATCATATGTATGACCAAATAAACTCTTCCGAATTCAAGTTCCAGTTTCAAAAGCTGCTTGAGTCATATAAGACATGCTATGAAATCAGGTTACTAGTATTCTCCCTCAACGTGTTTAGGAATTTCAAGTTTAAAAGTTTAAATGATCACAACACATATTTACTAAAGTGGCACAACAAAATTTCATGAATCTAAAACTACAGCGAAAATTAATGACTCAAGAAAATGGATTCACCATGCCTTTTGATCACAAGACACACAACTAAAAATGTCAACAAAATAATACCTGTAAGTCGAGAATGTTGTAGGTATTGGCAGCATCATCTTGTTCCCAAGGCAAGTCAGGTGCGTGCCTCCATCGTCCATCCACGATAAATCTAAACTGGTACACACCAGATGGCAGCACCTTCATTATAGTGAAGTCCTTTCCAGATCTCTGCAAGGGAATTCTGATGAACAAGAAATATCATAATCTAAGAAGCAGTTATAGAAACCTTTGAAGACAAATAAACATATTAAAAACACATTTGGCTTGTCTTTTGTTTTCTTTTCCACTTGAAACATGTTCATGTGTTCACTTTGTTTTTACAATCCACAAAAGGAGTAGTGAAAACATCATTAAGTAATATCAGCTATAGTGCTATTTCATATCAGACTTCGGACAAATCGCTATTGTTCCGAAATACACAATTTAGGGGGAAAAATGTTAAACAGCAGCTATAATTGGGCGTTGTAGCACTATGGCAAAACAGATTTTGAGTAAACTGCTATTTTCTGCAATCCACAATTGACAACATTAACATATCAGCATTAACTGAACTTAATCGACACTAAATTTTCCGAACCTGGATTTCCAATTATCCCATGACCCCTCCACGGAAACTTCTTTACCACCATAACTCCAAGTAATCATTGTCGGAATTCCAATTTCATCAAACATATCCTCGTACCCTGAAGTAGTTTGCATCCAGGAAGAGGTTGGAGCCTGCATCTCATCAGGTCTTTGTAGTGGAACCACCGGAACCTAAACACAGGGAAAAGTGAACAACGATTAATAACCGATGATAACAGAGAATCCACACCACACACAATAACAGTCCAAATCCAAGAAGAAAGAACATATATCCAAAACAACAAAAGGGATAGGAAAGTCGATTCTTGAAAGTGACAACAATCTAGAATATCGGAATATGGTTCCCTAAAAGTAATCCCAATAACATAAGCATAAGCTACTTTTGTTTCCCAATCACATCAACACTCAATTATGTTCCAATACATTCTGATTGGTGAAAAGTGAAAACATCAATATAAACCCTGAATCTGATCAAATTCTCAACAAAAAAACCCAAGTGAAAAACATGGAACTGTAAACTAATGTATGAATCAAAAAACAAAATAATTGCACTGTTAGAAACCAGACACAATCATAAATAACATCAAATCAAAAACAAAACGTAAGTGATCAACTTTGACTTTAGATACAGATTTACACACACCAAAAAAAAAACTAAATTTTATGAGTTTTGTCCACAATCTGAGTAAAAATAAAACAAACCCTTAATTGGTGAATTGGGGAAAAGGGTTAGGAGATAGAAAAGGAAGGAACTTTACCTGAGGAGAGAACATTAACGGAGATTGAGTAGTTCTAGGGCTAGCAGGTGGAGAATGACCCATTTCCTCAGAAGGTAAAGGATTTCAACAACCCCATCAGGCACAGACATGGAATCGCTGACACTGTCAAAACCTCCCTCTCTTTCTCCATCATCAGATGAAGCTTCCGAGAGTGTGCCGTTGAAATCTTCTTCTCTGCCATTCACATTCCCCATCACAAAGAAGAAGAGAAAGTAGTTGTATGGATGGAAATTGTGGTGGTGATGATGGTTCACGGCATCATGTTCTTGACGAGGGTTGTTATGCTCTACTCTAGTTGTTGTTGTTGTTGTTGTTGTTACTTTTTCTTCATTTTTCCAATTGGGAGCTTCAACGTGCTTTGTGTTTTTCTGCGTGCGTGTGTGTGTGAACCTTTTTCTCTTGTTTTCTTCCTCTCTCTCTCTTCTTAGTGAGGGTGATGTGATGAGAGAGGAAGATGTTAGTAGTGTTATCAATGTTTATCATAGCTCTCT